GGGAAGATCATCGTGGCGCGAATCCACTCAAGGTGTTCAGAACACGACAAGTATTCATTTTTCATATCCCTTTTTTGCAAAAGCAAAACCATTCACCAACCCCACTTCTCTTTCCTTCAACAAATTAGAACAAACTTTTACGCAACGATGCTCCCCTCCCCAAATGAAATTGCGTCAGAGCCCTCTACCAAATGATGCCACCCAGAGCTTGCTGATTTATGAGCTTTTTGCAAAAGTACAAAATTAACAGAGCAATCTTGAGAAAGTACCCACCTTTTGTACCGATAGCAAGGACCAGATCTGCGACGGTGTCATCAGTGTGCTCTGCTAGGGCATTAAATTCAGCATGACTTTCTCTCATCTCGCTACTCTTTTTGGGTAACACCTCCTTGAGCCTATACCTGAGAGTTCGTATAAGGGACGATGTTGCGTCAGCCTTGATCAGCTTACGATGTCTTCTTTGTCTGGCTGAATGCATAAATATAAATGACTACAACAATAACTCTTGACAATAAGAATAACAACCAAAATATAAAACGCGTATGTGAACTAAACAAACCTTTTATGGAGCCGGTGTTGATAAGTTCTTGGATGAGTTTGCATAATAACACCAGGCAGAAGTCATCGCTGCACATCTTGAATTTCAAACTGAAGTTCTTCAACAACAAGAAATAAATGAAATGTACCTCTACAGCTCTCAGGAGAGTCCTCAGATGATCGCCATCGGATGACTGCTTCTTCGACACATAGTAAGTGAATGTTGCTGACGTGTCCGCACTTGGTGTCCATGCACGGCTCAGACTGAATGCAAATGCAGTCTTTCGTGAAAAACTTGAAACATTTCTATGTGGCTCTTTCTGTTGGATTTTGGAGCTCACACGCGCACAAAAAAGCCAATGCGAGCGGTCCCCAATGTGTTATAGTAACCTTTTGAGTTTCTACTGGTGCAGAAGACGCAGTTGTAATAGTGAATCTTTCAGAATGTCGTTTTTTTACACTTCACATCTGAATGCTTTATTTTGTCCTATTCCGAGCTAGCTGCCATTGTTACACAAGCCATTTGAGGAGCTGTTTTTGTTTGTTAATAGCTGTCTTTGGCTGCAGTTCGCATTGCAAATGTTTCACAAGAATGCTGGGTTGTGAACAAAACTTGCGCCCCAGGCGAGAGTCGCACCTACAGGCGGATTCAAATCCTGCCTGAGGCGCAAGCTTCGTTCTCTTGCATTCTTGTAAAATCTTTTAAGAGCTTTCCTTGCCCTAATAACGGGGCCTTATTTGTCACCATAGTATTGAAACATATTTGTATCACTTCTTCGAAGCTTAAAATACGGCATGCTTGAGAGGGGGGGGGGGGAGTGCTAAGCCAGTGCAGAG